GAATGCTTTTATACGAGTACGGCAAATTGTGGATAATGTTCTCCTGGGTCATGAGTTAATGCACTACTTGAAAATTAAAACGCGAGGTAAGAAAGGGTACATGGCCCTAAAGGTTGACATGGAAAAGGCCTATGATAGGGTTGAATGGCCCTTTCTTCTCGCTGTTTTAGACAAGATGGGCTTTAATTCTGTCTGGCGGGAATGGATTCATGAGTGTCTTAGGTCTTCCTCGTTCTCAGTTCTTATGAATGGCACACCGTCGGGCTACTTTTCCCCCTCGAGAGGATTGCGGCAAGGCGATCCCCTCTCCCCTCTCCTCTTTGTGATTTGCACGGAAGGCTTCTCAGCCCTTATTCGTAAGGCGATTGCTGATAAGAGGCTGGAGGGGATCAAAGTGGCTCCTCGGGCCCCTAGGATCTCACATTTGTTCTTTGCGGATGATTCGTACTTATTTTTACGTGGAACCCTTCAGGAATGTGAGAATCTGATGGTGATCTTGAGAGAATATGAGGAGTTGAGTGGCCAGAAGGTGAACTTGGATAAATCACCGGTTTGCTTCAGTAAGAATATTGTGCGGGCAGACCAGGAGTTCTTGGCCACAGTTCTAGGGGTGGGGGCGGTCGGGGTCCATGATAAATATCTGGGTTTACCTATGCTGTTTGCGCGATCTAAAGTGGAGACCTTCCGGTTTTTGGAGGTAAAATTGTTAGAACGCCTCCAGGGTTGGAAACAGAGGATGTTATCTTGGGCGGCTAAAGAGACGCTGATCAAATCAGTTGCCTTGGCTTTGCCTCTGCATGTTATGTCTTGCTTCAAGCTCCCTGTCTCTCTATGTCGTATCCTCGATAAGCATGTTCCGCGGTTCTGGTGGGGGGATACTGAGGGGCATCCTCGGGTTCGGTGGATGTCCTGGCGAAATATGTGCAGAAGTAAACATGATGGCGGGATGGGGTTTCGGCGGTTTGAGCAGTTCAATCAAGCTCTCCTTGCGAAAATTGCCTGGCGTATCCTTAACGACCCGCATTCCCTTCTGGCCGAGGTCTATAAAGGCAAGTATTTCCCAAACAGGACGTTTTTGGATGCTACGGCTCGCTCTCGTCCCTCTTGGGGTTGGCAGAGTATCCTGTTTGGGCGACAATTATTAGAAAAGGGCTTAAGGTGGCAAATTGGTAATGGGGAGTCTGCTTCTTTACTCCATTCCAACTGGATCCCGGAACTCCAGCTTGATCCCCTGAGTTATAATCCTATGATCTTACCTACGGGTGCAAATCCCCCTATAGCGGAGGTCATTTGTCAGGGGGAGGGGTGGTGGGATGACCAAAAGGTGAGCCAGTGGTTTGATCCGCCAACTTGTCGGGCCATTAAAGCAATTCCTCTTCCTTATCAGAATGTGGAGGATAGGCTTATTTGGCATGCTACATCTGATGGGGTATTCTCTGTCAAATCTGCCTATCACTTGGCGGTTGCCTTGGATAAGCGAGAAGGTGGCTGGAAGGATACGATCAGTTGGATGGATAAGGCTAGTTGGATTCGGTTGTGGGATTCGAATACTCCCCCTAAGCTAAAAGTTTTTGTCTGGCAGATTCTTCATCGGATCCTACCTACTACTGAGGCCCTTTTTAGTAAAAAGGTTCCGGTTCCCCTAGATGTCCGGTTTGCTGGGAGGGTCCGGAGACAATGGAACATTTGTTTCTTTATTGCCTTGTGGCTCGGGCTCTTTGGGATTATTCTGGCCTGGACTATGTGGGGGAAGGGTTGCCGCGGCATACGTTCCCGTGATAATTGATAAAATCAATCATGGTGATGCCAGAGACAATCGGGTGGGTGCTGTTCTTGAAGAGGTCATGCACTATTTTCGCATCCATCCGGGACTGAGGGTTCGATTTGTAGGTCGGCGTAGTAATAGGGTAGCCCACTTGGTGGCTAGGAAAGCCCTCTCTTTGTACCCGATCATGAATCGAGTTTTTAATTTTCAGACCTGGCTGAATTCCAGGATGTAACTATCTCTTCTTTGGAATCAATATATGATTATCTTTTGTAAAAAAAAAAAAAATACACCTCATTACATTATCAAATTTCATACCTCACCTTCCTCCAGCCAAATGCCCAGCGCTCACGCTAATTTCCTTTTATGCTCAAAAGAATCCACAACTGGTGAAGGGGTGATATCTTTTTGTTTTCCAATACCACGGACATAGAAAATAAGAGAGAGGAAGGTTAATTTTGTTTCTTTACTATTGTTTTATTAAAGTTATGTTTTCTTTTTCCTTAATGCATCGCACACGTTGCTCCATTTTAAGCCCAATTGTTTCTCTTATTAGGGAGAGAATTAATTTCTTTAAATATTCAATAGAAAACTCCTATCGAAATCTAAATTTGTTAGTGATATTACCTGTATGAAATGATTTAATCATGGTTGAACTATGATTTTAGTATAAAATGCCCTAATGTTAACTTTTTTTTATACGAATTTCGTTTTGATTTTACATTTTTAGGTTTTTTGTGAACATGCATTGATGCTCGGGTTGGAGCAACGTGTCAAGCATGATTCAACCACCATTGAGCTATGATTTTAGCAGAAACCTTTGGTATGGTCTTACAATTTTTTTTTCCTGAACATAAATTGAGACTCGGGTTGAAGCAACATGTCAACCCTTATTTTTAACCATGGGTGAACTATGAATTTAGCACAAAAAACTATAATGCTAACTTTATTGGTATGACCTTAGGTATGGTTTTACAATTTTTGGTTCTTTAAACATAAATCGAGGCGCGAGCTGGAGCAACGTGTTAAGCCTGATTTAACCATAGTTGAACTACGATTTTAGCACAAAATGCTCTAATGCTAAGTTTTTTGTTGTGACCTTCGATGTGGTTTTACAAATTTTAGTATATCTGAACATAAATCGAGGCTCGGGTTGGAGCAACGTGTCAAGCCTGATTTAGCCACGTTTGAACTATGATTGTACTGTACTGGTAGTCAAAATATTATAACATAATCTAAATCGCTAGGTGATTTTAGCTTATTGAAATGATTTAACCATGATTGAACTACAATTTTAGCACAAAATACCATAATGCTAACTTTTCCGGTATATGATTTTACATTTTTTCTGAACATAAATCGAGATTCAGATTGGAGTAACTTGGGAAGGCTACACCAATAGCATTCTCTCTAGTTTTGAATGTAAGTTATAATTCACACACTAATCAAATAAGATTAAGGATTCAGTAACCATGTTCATGTATCAAACAAAATCAAAGGGATAAAAAAATGTCAAAGCCTAATTCCATAATTTACCACCGAGCGGCAGCATGTGAAAGAGTTGACAAAATAACAATTATATCCATTATCCCGTGTTTAATGGAAGTACGATCACATTTCGTAAAAAAAACAAACAAACAAGTCAGGTAGCCATGGAGTTCAAAGGAGTGATCGTCAAGTTTATGGAACAGGTTAAGCACAATTATATCCATTATCCTAAAGACCCATGAAAGTAGGATCACATTTCACAGAGTTGCACACTAATCTTACGAATAATGGCAGTACTGAAAGCAAAATACAATTATATCCACAGCTAATTTACATGCTTGGGGTTGTTTATCCTGCAGATGGGGAACCGGAGATGGGATGACAATATTGTATAGAGATAGAAAAATTATTAACGAATCACATATACACATTCCATAATGCGGTTCTCCTTTTTATGGAACCTTGAACATCTTTGTGCTCCCACTCATAAAACCAACATCCCCTCTTCCACATTTTATACCATACTAGAGGAGACCTGGCCTCATCGAATGACACTAAATCAGGCGAAACTTTATTTGCTCAAATGATCTATTTGCTCCAATGAATTAATCATTCTAAATGGAAGGTTTATGTACTTCTATATGCTACATATTTATTGGGAGTTGCGATATCCCATCCAAAGGATGCAGGGATGCTAAAATCCAGTTACTTCATGGGATTTTTTTTGTTAACCTGAGGGAGGGAGTGATTTTGACTACGATTTATACATGCGTAGCTTATAAAGAGTCAACAATGTTAATAAACAATATATGATACACAATAGAATCTCTTCCATAACTCAAGTTATTGAACGAACTGATTTTTGACATGGTATCAGAGCCTTCTGTGACCAAAATGTGTCATGTTCGAATTCCGATAACCCCATCTGTTTCTGCTAAGCACATTGTGTCCGACCTGTATCTGTGCAAACTTCCAATAACTCGTGCTATTTGACTAAACAAATTATTCATTTTTCGTTGAGTGTGATCTATCTGGACCAGACCAGACCGCACTGGCGTGGTCTGGACCGGATTATATATTTTGTGGTCTGGTCTGTGGTCTATACTTTATCCTCTCGGTCTGGATCATAGACAGTATATATGGTCTGGTCTGGACCAGACCGCACCGTTTCCCAGCCCTAACACGTGGTTGTTCTTAACTAATTTTTTTCGTTTTAGTAATTTAATATTGTAATTTATGACTTATGTAATGTTAGTATATGTGAAATTGTTAGCATATTGGTTGAAGTTATAATGAAAAATTATTAACCATTGATAGACGTTGATATCCGAAATACAATTGGGTATGACTATGATTTTAATATTCTACCCGATTCTTATATCAGTATGAGTATGGAAAATCCAAACTAATTCAGATAAGATAATATATATACACTATCCGACTCCCCGTTGCAAAATATCAGTAGTGCAAAATAGTGCAAAATATTATAATTTTTGTTCTCCATCACTTTAGCTACGTGTTGTTGGGCTTGAGAGCCATGCCCATTACCAAAATAGCATATTTCTTATACAACAATAATCCATATTAAACTTTCATAAGTGCACTGTCATTTCTATTAGAACCCACATGTCATGTCATGTTAACCTTTCTCTTATGCAACAGTATCAAACTTATAGTCAAAAGGAAAAAATTGACCGTAATCGAAACTTGGTCCCTAACATATTGAGATTTTTGTCAAAACCATGATGGTTTTGAGGCGAAGGTAGAGATCAAAAAATAGAACATGCAGCAGGGGAATTGAATTGTAGGCCTCCTCTCTTCAGTTTTATTTTCCTCTCTCTCTCTCTGTCTCGCTCTTCCTCTGGTAGCCGTTATAGAAGAAAAGCTAATCATCAACTTCCTTTTGTGATTCGCTTTTCTCAATTTCTTTATTTTCTAATTTTTTATTTCTTTTCTTCATTGGGTTTTCCCGCAATTTGATCAACGAACAGAGGGAAGAAGCAGGGCAGACTCGTAGAAGAAGATCCAGCGGCAGAACACCATGGTTGCAGAAATGCCAACCAAAATTCCACCAAACACGATAGCATGCAGACGGAGGAGAGATAGGTGGTGGAGATGGGTAGGAAGAGAGATAGAAAAGTGGATCTGGATCACTCCTTTTGTTATTTTAAGTATCAGCAACTAACCCACCCGAATAAGTGCTACAACTATGTTCTAGACTCATTTACTTTAACACTTCGCTCATCCATTTCTCTCAAACATTATAATTATCTCGTAGACTAAGATCTTATTCAATTTCTCTAAGTTTTACAAACAATTTGACAAATAAATTTCATTTTACATTGACATTTGAAGAACTTTTATTTTTTATATTTCATAAAAACTTTATACATGATTGTACGGAATGGTGCAGGTGGGTTTTCCCCAAATCGCATACTAGTTGTTTTTTGTATGAAATATTACATCCCACACAATTTTAATTATGGAAATGGTTACGATTTTAAAATCGTGATGATTCGAGAGATGATATATAGGAAAAATCAGCTCCACTCGAATCCGTTTCAATCCCCGTATGATGGCTTTTCATAGTAACTAGGGAGGTGGTAGCCTCACTTCGCAGCGGCTCTGTGATAGGGTATTTGGGTTTGTGGGTTGTTAACTTGTTATTGTAAGCCCGTCCAACTCTTTGTAAATATGGGCCATTAATCTTTAGTGGAACCGGATCTGTGATAGAAATAAATGACTTTATTTTCTCAAATTTTCTTAAATGGTTTTTATTTTTCGTATAATTTGGATTTCAAAATTTTTGTTAATAGATTGACCGTGTTCGTTGTGATCTGCAAAATGAGATCATTTTCATTTTTCAATATATTTTAAGAATATATAGTTTGTTTTTAACTCGAATTTAAGAAAAAAATTATCAAAAGAAATGAGATCATTGTGATCAATTAGATATAAGTTTGGTATCATCTGGGTCTCAATCGGTAAAGATATCAATATATAAGTGTGTCATGATTAAAATCAAACTTAGCCTCGATTTATGTTCAGTAAAAATTACAAAAATTGTAAAAACATACCAAAGATCATACCAGTAAAGTTATCATTAGGATATTTTCTGTTAAAATCGTAGTTCAATCATGGTTAAATCAGGTTTTACAAGTTGCTCCAACCCGAGCCTCGATGCATGTTTAGAGAAAAAGACAAAAATGTGTAAAACCATGCTGAAGGTCGAACCGGTAAAATAATTATTAGTATATTTTGTGCTAAAATCGTAGTTAAATCAGACTTAAAACATTGCCCAAACCCAAACCTCGATGTGTGTTTAGAAAAAATCAAAAATTGTAAAACCACGCCGAAGATCGTACCGAAAAAGTTAACATGAGGTTGTTTTATGCTAAAATCATAGTTCAGCTGTGGTTAAATAATTTGATGCAGCTAAAATCACCCATGGATTTAGATTACATTATGAGTTTTTCTATTGGACTGCCAGTACGGTACAAACATAGTTCAATCGTGGTTAAATCATTATATACAGCTAAAATCATCTACCGATCTAAATTCGGTTATGAGTTTTTATATTATACTGCTGCTACATACAATCAAATATTATACACGGGATAGCAAATAATAGTTCTAAACTTATGAGAATTCGCAGCGAAGCGCGGGACAAAATCTACCTTGTAATATATATTTGAAACTCCAATTAGGGTTAATACTTTATTTTGGCACGAACTATACCCAAACTTTCTACTTTGGTCCGTGATTTCTGAAATTGCTCCTCTGGCCTGAACTATGCACCATACTTTCTTGTTTGGTCCGACGCAAAATTTCGACAGTCAAATTGGATGATCAACTCCATTGAGCGTTAGCCAAGTCACTTGCCACATCAGCAAACATGAAATAAAAAAGTTTTATTTGCAATTTCTTTAATTTATTTCGTTTTCTAATAACAATAATAATTAACAAAAAAAATAACTCAAAAATTTGGATAACGAAAAATAACTACAAAAATTCCAAATTCCAAACTTTTTGTTTTAGGTTTGCTGACGTGGCAAGAGACCTGGCGCTTGATTAAAGGTCAATGGATTTGACCGTTTAATTTGACGGTCAAAACCCGCGTCTGGCCAAGCAAGGAAGTATGGTGCATAATTCAGGCCATGGGAGCAATTTCAGAAACCACGGGCCAAAGTAGAAAGATTGGATATAGTTCGGGCCAAAATAAAGTATTAACCCAAATTATTATTTGATAAATTATTATTTAGCCGCACTCTGTTCCGGCTTGAGAAATGTTAAATGATATTGACTCGTTATTATCTAAACTGAGTATTGATGTCCTACAATCTAGAAATAAGCCAATTTACACTATGTTGCATATGAAGGTCAAAATATATGAATATCGATCTGTGACTTCATATTCCACAAAGTGCCTATTATATTCTTATGAACTAATTGAATGAAACTAACAACAAAATATCAACAAACTTCACTCTATCGTGATTGATAAGATAGGAAAAAATCAATATTAAAAACCTGCAACTGATACTTTAAGAAGAAGGAACAAAAGCTTCACATAAACATTCAACATTGGCAAAAATATTATGTCATTCTTGAACTTTCTTTTACCCCGCATGAACAATCAGATGTCAAGCAGAAAGCATTGAATTTAGAGATGACAATTTGGACATGACCCGTTTTATCCTACCCGTTTTGCTTGTTTTAGGGTTGGGCAGACATGGTTATCCCATATACCCAACCTACCATGACCCACCCCTTTCTTGACCGTTTTTGGTAAAATTACATGTAATTTTATTCAAATTACTTAGAATTTTATTTTTGTTACCTCAAATTTAAGCTATAACGAAGTTGTAAGTAGGTAAAAACCTAAATTTCTCGAATAATTTACTAAGTTTATCATACATGGTTTGCTTCTTGGTTTTTCAATTTAAAAAATATATATTTCTAATTTTTTTTCTTGTTGAATTTATGGATCATTTTGTCCCGACATACGACTTGTAATAAATTATCCGATACTTTAGAATGAGTATAAACATAGAATGAGTATAAACATCGAGATACTCGCCCTGAACTTAACCTACCCATTGCCATTCCTAATTAAACCCTCATACTTTCCTTGGAGGTTGGGAAAAATTAATGGAAAAATGCCACAAGCTCCATACATTTTCAACTAATTGATTTCGGCTTCCCATGGGTGAGCAAAGAAAGTGACAGACCGTTTAGTTAGCAAAACCCTAATGAAACAGTAACACACTTATGGGTTTAATAATATTCAAGAATTTTACTTTTGTTACTCAAATTTAAGCTATAACGAAGTTGTAAGTAGGTAAAAACCTAATATTCTCGAATAATTTAACTAAGTTTATCATACATGGTTTGCTTCTTGTTTTTTTAATTTAAAAAATAGATATTTCTAAATTTTTTTCTTGTTAAATTTATGGATCGTTTTGTCCCAACATACGACTTGTAATAAAGTCCTATAAATACAACTATGTTTAGTGGATTACTGTTCATGGATTATTTGTTCCGATCTGAACCTATTATACAAGTGGATTACTGTTCCATAAGAGATATTCTAACCTACACCACCGTCACTTTTTTCTTTCCTCCTTACCGTCACCCGCATCTCCTTCGCCTGTGCGTTTAGGGTGGGATTTGGGTTGGTATTAGCATAATAATGACCCCAATAGTAGTACCTGCAGTCGTATTAATGGAAGGAAAGGAGAAGCAGTGGTCTAACAAATTCTGTTGCTTTTTCCATTAAAAAAATAATTTTGTTGCTTTGTTAGGTTGTTGAACACTCTTAAGTCTGAATCAATATAGTCAAAACTGTGTTTCTACGTAAAAACATTTTGGTGATCTAGAATAGTAAAACGGTAAGTTTTTAAGGTTTAAAGTGCTCTTTTAACTACATTAGTTATTAAAACTTTGTTTTTGCATAGAAACGTTTTGGTGACCTATACGCGTAAGAGCGTAAGTTTTTCAGTTTTAAAACTCTATTTTGACTAAATTGATCACAACAGTTTTTGTTAGTAATTTTTTATAGAGAACTACAGCTGGATTGAATCACGATTAAAAGCTATTGCAAACTTACAAGAATATATTTTGGTGTTTAATCATTTGAAAAGTTAATGATGTTTTAGTTTGTGTGTTTACAACGATTATCAGCTTACATGACCCACATCAATCCTGAAAGAGTATCATTATGAAGAAGCCAATAGTGGCAAGGCTCAAGGGAACTGTTACATTGCACACAAGCTCATTTAGAATCCACAAGTTCGACTCCGACTTCATCTACTGGCATAACGTTCTCCCTTGCGTCGAGGTGCTCAAAATCAAGCCTCTCCAAATCCCCAATTTTCTTGATCCATTAACAACATGAAGTTTCCTGATATGCAGTTCAAAAATGAGTTAAAAAAAACTTTACCCTTTTTATTTGTTCTTCTCTCCCAATCTAAGTATTCAATGAAAGGAAATTAATTACCCATCTTCAATTTACAACCCTACCTCTATGATTCGACTTCGACAAGATTTTGGGAACTATCCATCTTCTTGCATGTTAAGTATAATGATTTTTTAAGGAGAATACGACTCTTACCCTTTGATATGAAAAAATGGGAACTATCCATCTTCTTGCATGTTAAGTATAATGATTTTTTAAGGAGAATACGACTCTTACCCTTTGATATGAAAAAATGGGTGAAGAGAGTAGTAATACAGAGGCGGTTGGAGCGACCACACCATTCGGGCGTGGGGTGATGATGTCGGTTTCCAAAGTTGGAGATGGAGGCATCTAATTTCATCTAATTCGTATCTAGATCTATCCTGTCTCTTTTTCGATCGTGTATGCCAAAATGGGTTAATCAAAGTGAGGGAAACTGGGATAACAAGGATCTGAACGAAAACTGGAATCGCGAAAGGAGGATACATGAAGGGAGGATACTGATCGGAAGAAGAAAAACAGGATGTGATGAGATAGGAGTCACGAAAAAAATGTTAACAAAAAATCATTTTCTTATTTGTTCATTGAGGGATAATATTTATTAGTTTATTGATTGAATTGTTTTTCGTTTACTATATTACTTACTCCTACACAAACGGGCAGACAAGGCTCTGGATTATAGCTGGAACCCCCCCCCCCCCCCCCATTTCCTGATCCATCTCACATCAATCACTCGACCCCTACCACCTATAGGTAGTTTTAGACAGGTTTCCTTTGAAGTAGATACCTAAATTCCAAAGATAGCTCGTAATAATCACTGTTCATTAGTGGGGGCCACGCTCTCCCCTGCGACTGGTGGAGGCCCAAAAGTTTAGCCTTCGTTGGCCCAAGTGGCACCCTTCCCCTCTCACAGAAATTTTTGCCTATCTTATTACCCCACTCTCCATTGACAGACCTTTGGATCTTTCTTTTCTCCATTGGTCTCACATCAATTCTGCAATACCCACAAAACTTTCTTCCAATCCCTCTCTACTTTTTTGTTTTCCTTCCCACACGCAAGACTTCTGTTCTTTCAACCATTCTTCTGACATATTTTACTTCCAATGCTTGCTCTGCCAGCCTTCCCTTACCATCTTCTCTTCCTCATTGTCCATCACCACTTTGGCTATGGGTTGCATTAGCGAGACTCTCCCCTTTGCTCAATCACACGCAACTCTTGCTTTTCATTCTCTTTGTTTCTCGATCCTTTTTTACGGAACCTCAGGTCGCTCACTCACTTTCTCTGTGAAGATGAAGAAGATGTTCATCACGAGGAGGCAGAAGATACTGCTCTCTTATTTTTTCCTGCTTGCTCGACGGAATCCTAGGTTCTGATCCCTCTGTTTTTCATCTTCTTCAGATCTCACCTACTGAATTCAATGTAGCTTCTTATATATATTTTTTTTTCATTTTTAATCTTTGCCCCCCTCACTTGTTTGCAGGGAAAGCAAAACTCATTGATAAGTACGACGACGTGGGAAAGAGAAGCTGGTGAAGCACTGAAGATTAATGAAAGCCAAAGAGAAGATAAGGAAAGCCACCTGGTGTAGCGTCGAGATCTGCAAGAGATGGGATTCGGTCGAGCCCGGTACAGGTGGAAACGGAAGGAGAGGGAGGGCAGCAAAATTGGGAGTGCATCTCAAGTGGGATTCCGCCAAGGCCGTCTGTGTTCTTTAGGGAGTGCATGATGATTGGTGGAGAGCTGTGGAATGCTGAGATTCCTTCAAAAGCGCTCTTGGAGTGGGGAACGATGCTCTGGTGGGAGAGGCCGATAGGAGAACTGGTAGGTGTGTTGCAGCTGCTGCATTTTGTGGGGAAAGGCATCGGCCTCTGCTATGATCACGTTGGTCGGAAAGTGTTGAGACTATGGGGTTTTAAGGAATAAGAGATTCGATGATTCGGATTAATTCCGCTGAGGGAGGGTTGTGTGGGGTAGGAATTGGGAACGATTTATGATGATTGCAACATCTGTTGTTCCTTTTCCTTTTATTTTCTTACTAGCGTGGCCCCGGCCACTTGGCCGAGGAAGATGAGGTATAAAATTCGATAATGTAATGGGGTGTATAGCTTATTGTTGCATAGTTTTTTTTTGGAAACACGTGATAAAAATAGTGAATTTTAGTAGGAAAGAGACATGAATGATGCAACGAATCAAAAATCATCCTTATGAACTAAAATCAAGTACATGTTACCTTGTAAAACAATATTACTTCGGGAAATGAGCATCTCACAATCGTTGCTAGCTTTTACTCGGCCCGTTGGCCGATTAATTTGCTTTATAAAACTTTCATCTTGTCATCATTGTGCTTTCTGGTTTTTTGCCAAGCCATGATAATCTAAAGAAATCAAGAATGAACAATACGATTTGGGATAGGAACCACCATTCCTGTATCCCTAGAAAATGGTGGTAAACACGGACTCACCTGCCAAACTGGTTTGGATTGAGATTTTTATCGGGTATCAGGGAACCATGTAATTATAAATTAGACTTGATCAAAACGGGCAAAAACTTGAAATTCAGCCTGTTTGACCGACTCATGCCAAACTCTAATTATTCTTTACTTTTAAACTTTCTATTTGAAAATAAAAAAATAATGAAAGAAAAGAGATGACTGCAATTCGCCATTTGCACATCACTGATTCGGGAATAAAACTATAGAATTTCGAAAGGAAACTGAAAATGTTTAGGATCGTTTTAATGTTAAAAATAACCAACTAGATCTTTATGTTTAGTTTTTTACTAACAAAGGCCAAACGATTCCCTATAATATACACTATAATTTAATCATTATGATATCAAATAATTACATAATATATATTTGAAATGATAAAAATTGAACTAATTGGGTTGGTCGAGGTTGAACCATTGAATAACTTTAAAATACATTATATTTTAGCTACTAAGATATAAAATAATAGCATAGTATATATTATGCTAGAGAAAATAGCTTGTTTTAGAATGACAAACCCATGATGTTCATTTGTTTTAACTCTTTTATTTTATGATTAGAGGTTAGCCAATTAGAATCCAAGTTTTTGCCTTTTCAGCAATAAAAAATAGTATCGTTTTTTCCTTTTCATATATATTTTACCACCACGGAGAAATAAAAGGACTTTAAGAAAAAAATTGACACTCCTGGACCCGTTTAAATCCGCATGTGTACGATAAGTTGGCCCGTTACACAGAGGAAAAAGAAAAAAATTGACACTCCCTATTCTACCCTTCCTACAAACGCTCCTGGAGCAAGGAATTTGAAATGGAAAAGAGTTTTTTCCTCTCTACTATTATATGTTTTTAATTTAAAAAGATACAACAAATGTACTTAGTGTGATTGGTTATGATCTTTTCTTTTTTTTTAAAGTGGTCATGATTCGAATTCTAGTAAGTGTCTTTTAAATGAATAAAAAAATATATATGAAAACCAAAATTTCTTTCTACTATCACTCTGAATGCATAAAATTTGAAATTGGGCTTTTACGATGGATTCGTTTTTTTTTTCCTGTGAATCCGGAGCCAGAACTAAGACACCAGTAACGAGTATGCGGTTGCGACGCAGCATGGTGAAGAACGAAGGACGATTTTGTGGTTACCGTGAAAACAAGCAAAGTTCTCCTCCAAACCAAGAAGTTTGTGGCGATGGGCCTGAAGTGGGCGCGGCGCATCCACCGTCTGGAATTTTCTAGCACACTTTTCAGCAGCGGTTAGTTTTTTCCAATCACCTGTAATTTCACTTCTCTCAATTCTGGGTTTTATAGATTAACGACCATGACATATTGCTATTGGAGAAGCCCTGATGATGGATCCATTCGAATTGTGGGTTTTTGGTTTCTCAGTTCGTAGAGGACCACTAAAGAATAGTTGTTTCATTTCTTGGTTTTTGGTTGTTTAAAAAAGAGGATTGATTGCTGCCTGATACTATCAAGTTGTCCACTAGCAGACTTCACTTTCAATTGAAGAACCAATGCACTGCATTATTGTTTCGTTCACGGGTCATGGTTGTTTCTTGGTGTTTTTTTAATTGCCATTACTTTTGAAATGGTAGCAGATGGGGACTTGTGATTACTCAGTTATTTCTGCTACAAGAAACCGTGTAAGTTGAAATATAGATGCCTTATGTTTCTGCTGAGTACTGGAAATGATGTTAGTTGGAGGGTTCATGGACTCTTTTTTTCGTCAACAACAGGGTTCAGAGTTCATTGGAAGTAATTAATAGTTTGGATAGGGGTTAATTGGTCCATAGTTGATGGTTTATTTTGTTGGTTGGTCTTAGATTCATGAATACTAAAGCTTAAAATTAGTAAAATACTTGGAAGTAATTAATAGTTTAATGGAACTGGTTGCTACAAAAGATTTGAGTATGATTTTTTGGGATCTGCTGTTACTTCCTTTCAAACATTTTATTTACTTTGTGTTTGACGAATTTGTATTCAGCTCATGCTTTGATCAATTTCCTTAACAAGGTTGTGCTAGATGCCTCTGTATCGAAACACAGACTTCTTTCTTGTGTGAGTCGGCTCTATTTACTTTTCTATATATTGTTCGGCGTGTATGTTTTCTCAACTAAACCCAATCATTCTAGATTATTAAGACAAAATGTAGGGGAAGAGGCCATCAATTCCCTTTAGAGTCACTATCATCAGATATCGAATATTAGGGGCTGCTGATAGGTAGTTTATGAATTTGAGGAAAGTATGGAGTATATGAATAACCCATGTGTTAAAAGAATAGCATGTGGAACTATAATAACAAAGTAGCCACAATGCACTAAGTCAATACATGATTATCAAACATAAGCATCAACGAACAGAGCTCCTTAACTAAAATAGCCAAAAGCAGTGAAGCAAAATCTCAGCTTCGTATAGTCACTCTTCTGACATGGCATACTTGAGGAGAGTGGGGGGGAAAAAATCTGCAAGTTATGAACCATGGAACTATCTCAGTGATTCGCATTTCAATGCCCCAAGTATCAAAAGGTAAATGAAGGCTCTTCTTGGTCATATGTTGCTAATTCCTATTGCAATTAGTTGAAAACTGACGTGGTTGTATCCCCTCATTTACATGGTTATGCAGAGGTTTTGAGGGAGCTTGATGAATGACAAGGCAGTGGCAGTGTCATTGCCTCATGTTAATGAAGGGAGCGGATATGGTGACAACACCATATTTGTTGTTATTATAACAACACTAGTCTCCAACCAATAATAAGCTAAGATTGTGATGACTTTTTATTAGTTTAGTTGACCTAGTGTAAAATCAAAACAGGGGTATAATTGTTATTATGAAAAATATGTTTAACTAATAATAAATAATAAAGTATTTAAAATTAAAAAATATTTTTTATTTTCTGTCCAAAATTTTGGTTGCCGGAATTCTGCAACCGGTCCCCAGAAACTGGTCGCCGGTCACCGGAATATGCTTTTTGTCGACGGAATATGCTTATCGGCGTCGGAATATGCTTACCGGCGTCGGAAGCTCCCCAGTGCTATCTCCTCCTTCAGAGTCTACTTCCCGGATCAC